TTTCTATTACTGTTTTATACCAGAGAGAACAAAGATTTTGTTTGAAAGCTATTCAACCATTTTTTTCACTTTGATTTCAGAAACTTGCTCTTAAAAAAAAATTATGTGAAATTCCCCCAAAGTAAAATATGAAGGTAAACAGGTGCTGGAAAAATGTTTCTGCATTTTAGAACTTGATTGGATTTAAAGATCTATTCCATAGTGGCAAATTATATGGGTGGCATGGCAAATTCTCCCTTGCATAAGTAAATCTATAGATTGGTTTCACTGAATTTGTTTTTTGCCTTTATGTGGAAAAAGCATTCCTGTTGGATAATTGCTCATAGCTGCTGGCTTGATATTCTCAGTAATTCAGGGAGCATTCTTAAAAGAAAGACAACTTTTGTCTAAAATATTATGCTTTATATCATTGGTGTGTATGGGACAAAACCTTGTGCAACACTATAGAGATTAATTGCACTATGGAAGTACACCAGATTTCACAATAAATGCTTTTGAGATAGGCCCATGAAAAGAAGCCTGTATATGTATGTCTGCTGTGTAAACTTTTTCCCCTCCAAATTTTCCTGCTGAAGTTTAAAATATCTAAAAGCACTAGCCCTTGCAGTAATTATTGGAAATGTCATTATATGAAGCATTATACTAACCTTGTTTGAGCAATAAAACATCTGTGAGATTTTTTTTTTTACATTATGCTTGGAAAGCCCACTGAGTTACATTTTTCACTAGATGCCTAACTTCACATGCAGTGAAGTAAGAAGAGGTCACTGATACTCTGTGTTTCCAGCTATGGGTTAACAGCTGCTTTTTTGTGTAAAGACTAAGGGTGACAAACAGTCTTGTTAACCAACTAAAATGATTAAAGTTGACATGTTGGCATATTTATAGTTGTTTGGCAAGTAATAATTAGAAAAGAGTTGAATTGCTTTTGTGAAACTGAAACCTTTTCCATGAGGTGGAAAGGCAGGGACCAAGACATAAATAAAATTTGAATCTGCTGTTGTGAGAATTACAAGTTTGACTGACTACATCTTAGCTACTACCTTATGTTCTGTTTAGCTTGTGCATTGTTCATCAGCAGTGCCCATCGCAGGATTTCACATTTCTCTCCAGCTCTCCATTTTTCTTTGGTTATAGGGGTGCGTGTGCACACTTGTGCACCTATGTGAAGTTTATCTTCTTCCTCCCAGGGTTTCTTGGTAGTACATCAAGTAAATTACATGGATAACCTTGTCCAAGTACCCTTGGAACCTGCTTCCTGGCTACATTTTCAAAGCATAAGAAAAGAAAAAAAATACGGTTGGGGATTATAAATGTGTAATTGATTTGTATTTGAGTAGGTTATTAATACCATTTAAATTCTGGTTTAGAAAATTTAATGAAAAATACCTGTTTTTAGCATATTTATTTCTGAAGTAACGTGTGTTTGATGCAAGTAAGGTCTTTTGCCACTTTGCCATTAGTAAATAAATGCCAGCCATCTCCTTTCCTTTACTGAACTTGTAAAATAAGCTCAAATGTTGCCTTTTTTGGGCCACGACCAGAGGTGGTATTCAGCAGGTTCTGACCAGTTCTGAAGAACTGGTAGCAGAAATTTTGAGTAGTTTGGAGAACCGGTAAATACCACCTCTGACTGGCCATCTCTTCTCTGCCTCCCGAGTCCCAGCTGATGGGGAGGGAATGGGGATTTTGCAGTACCCTCCCCCTGTCTCGCCCCCCAAGCCATGCCCCACCCACCAAGCCAC